TTCCTTAATTTATTATTTCAACTTTATGCGTACAATGCGTGTGTGTGTGGACCCCCTGAAATAGCAGTGGCCACCCCCTGGCCACCCCATGTAAAAAATTGTAGCTCCGCCACTGTAACTAGTAGAAACACGAACACTAGTTAAAGAGATACTTCATACTTGACTTTTCATTGGTCAGTTGGATGTCAAACGCCATCAGTAGACAGAGGAGAATGGCCATATTCCATCTGTAGTTAAAAGTCACAATTGCTGACAACTAGACATACGCAGTTTCCATCTTCATAACTGCTAATTTTATGGAGTCATGTTGAGCCTGCAGACTATCCCAGGAAGCACAGAGCTTGGATTATGGGTGGGGGTGCCCTTACAATTGGAGCTAGAGTTAATGTTGCTATTTTATCATTTTAATTTTCGTTAACAAGAATATTTTTTCATTTTTAGTTTTTGTTAACAATAATAACCATTAATCCCACACTAAATCCCACACTGAATTAGCTGCCCCCTGATATGTCTCGACGTCACATACGGGTTAAATGCAGAGGACACATTTTGTTGTTGTGCACTGTGTGCTGTGGTGTGTCAACAATGACCACTGATCACTAAATTCTAAGAGCAATTAAGTGGTAACAGGTCACTTAGCTGCATGCAAAGTCTCACCAAGAACTCAGAACTGAAGCACAGTCCTGGAGTTGTAATACCACAGTGCTACCCATATGCCATATTAAAAAAATAAATCAACACACACACTATGTTCTGCACTGTACTGCCTCTCTGTGAATGAAAATGAGTTTTCTGTGTAAATTATACATTGCATATATATTGCTCTGTTATTGCAATAAACCCGAAACATTTTCAGAGCTACTTTTGAACCTGTGTGCCACTGACCTGCTCTGCAAGGAACTTCCAGTGCCAGCAAACCTGGGAGACGATGCAGAGCTCGCGGGGGTTCAGGAAGGACAGGATATAAAGGGACAGGAAGCGGGGCAACACACTGGTGAAGTCCATGTTGGTACTTGGAAAAGCATCCATGAACCAGTCTCTGGTGAACCTTGGACCGCAGAGAAAGACCAGCAGCTTCCAAAACACTGGTTATGTTAATTACATTTACAAAATGATGCTGTGGTAAAATATTACTTTACAAATTTTTGTAAATGTGTATGTACTGCATACTTAAGCTGAGATCTGGAGCATCTTCTTAGTATATCATGAATAAACTGTTTTCTTTGATTATCAGTCCACAGATCAAACCAGTGTAGTATGAGCGTTGTCCTTTCCTGAAAAAGCTATAGGGAAAAAAACAATTTATATTGTGTTTCTAGTTTAAAGTAACCATCAACCAATCAGTAACAGGCTATATAGATTTAATACTGAATATTTTTCTCGCATTAAATTCACCGGTGAGTTGCATATTAAATGTTATTATAAGTGTGACCGGAGAAAGCGGCAGGTGTCTGACCTGGTGATTCGCTGGCCTATTGACAATTGGTGTCCAAGTACTTAGACGGGTCTCAGATGCGACCAGTAAATCTTCAGTCAGTGCTGTTCGAAAATCTGTGGTATTGAAATGCCGCTGCTTTACACTGTGGGTACTTGCTCTTCCTCTGGATTTTAACAAATCCGCTCCCAGGGTTTCCATTGTAAGTAGAAGGATATCTGAAACATTAACATTTTATACGATTGCGCAGTGAGACTGGTCACAACGAAGAGAATAATGTCCCCAGAAAACCACGACAACTCTTACAACATGTGGAAAGTAGAATACATGAGGGTTAGGGCCGTTACACAAACTAAGCTTATTGCAAATCAAGTGCGAAACGTATGTCTACGTGTTCATTCTTAAGAATCAATAGAATGAAAATGATCGCCAAATTAGACACGCAGTCTTTCATTTTACCGTCAGGGTGAGTGCCTATATTTTTCTTGCCGGATATTACAAGCTGTTTAGTTCTTCACAACAAGCGCAGGTTCCCTTAGAAACGAGATAACAAACCCGTCAGCTGGTCACCGGTGACCCTTTCGCTGTATAGACATTTATATGGTCTTGTATACAATACTAAACAAGCTATATAGCTTGTTTTGTAGCTCAGCGTTTAAATTAAATATCACGGAAATGTTGAATTAAATGAGTAAACAAATGAGCGGTGTGGTATATAATTTAATCCAGAAATATTTTTTTAAAGTTAAAAACATTTTTTTTACTGTTAAACATCAATTTAGAGTAAACTTTTTTGTTTTATATAAATAAATATTGAAATATCTTTTGAATTAGTTAAATGTCAGAATAAAGAGAGAGAGAGAGAGAGATGTCTATTTTTTATCACTTTCATCAAATTTTGGAGTATATATACACTAAGTTTATTGTGTCTTTAATTAATAAGAAAACTCCAGACGATTCCATTCTGAGCTTAAGAAGCTTCTGATAGGTTAGTAGAGTCACAGCCTAATAAATCTTCAACTTCACAGCATGTTTTTCAGTCATTTCTAACCCCGACCCCGGCACTTTTTTTTGGGAGCTCATGAGTAATGGTTGGTATTTACTTCACGCAAAAACAGGCGCGGTGCGCACGACTCTGTGCTGGACTGTCCGCTATCCTGGATGCTCGGCTCTTACATCTACCGCCAAAGCAACAGGTAACCGCGTACTTTGATGCCAGGCCTGGGGTAACGCTGTAAAGCAAAGCTGACCTTAAAAGTCACGTTTAGGATGTGTGGGATGTATGGGTGTGGAGAATAAATAAGAATTTTACTAAAACTAACTGTGTGAACTGTGCTTACGGTGCGCTAGGCAGGGTTATTATCGTTAATCAAAACATTTTTATGAACTGAAATAAAATATGAAAATAAAACCTACGACTAAACGAGAACTATAAATATTGCTTCTGACACCAGCTGGAAAAATTTAAAATAAACGCCAAATACTTCTGGTTACCATTTAAAGATATTTCTTAGCTGAAGAGTTGTCTAGTTTATCTATGATGTAATGCACTTGAACCATCGAATTAGCCTACAGCACGTATAACTATCAATCTATCCCGAGAAATAAAATGACTAAAACCCAAAGTAAATATCAGGGGCGATTTTAGCCCATTGAATAAAAGCACCCCCAAAGATTTCTAACTTTTTTTTGACAGTTCATGCTGTTTATGTGAGACAGTATTAAAATATGAAAAATCATTCAGATGTAATATTTTAATAACTAGTATAGATACCCCCCCCCCCCCAAAAAATGGTTCGTTCCAGCTTCACTCTCCGCTACTCTGACTGGCTCCAGCAATGGTGGCTGAGACGCATTGGAGCGGTGGTGTGAGTACTTGGCTTAAAACAGGACATGTTAGCTGCATTTAACCTTCAGTAACTCTTTCTTTATATAGTTAGGTAGTAGGAGTCAGACCATGTCTTTTATTAGCTGAAAAACATTACCCCAGGGCTCTCAAGTGTCACGCATTGAGTGACAGTCACTCTTTTCATTCTTTTGTCACACACTCCCGCCACACATTGTATTTCTCACGCGGAAAAATAATTTGTAGGCTAATATGCCGCAGACCCCAATTTTTCCCCAGACCGCGGCACAGTAGCGCCTCACTATAAAACAAGCGTGTCTCCGCTGGAGTCTAATGGTGCGTTCATTTTTCTCTCGGAACTCGGAAATTCTGAGCTGAGTGACATTATGATACATTCGATTATTTCTCTCCAAGTCGGAACTCGGATGAAACACGCCTCTTTTATGACGTTGAAGTCGGACAAGATTTGCCCCAAGAGCCTGTCACTTACCAGCCAATCAAAAAAAAAGAAAGGGTCTACACAATAGCCAATCAGAAAATAGTACTATTGTATCTGGGTAGAATACAACACAACAACCAATGAAAAGGCATATTGTGGAACGTCACTCTTGCCTGTCTTCAAAACTTGACAGCCCTGTTACCCTCACAGGTAAACTGCAGTGTTGAAAACACGTTTTCTGACGATGTTTGCTACCCTACAATCCGCCCTACTCTGTAGGAAAATCAGCAACATTTTGACCGTCCTGTTGCTCCCATTGAAATTTATATAGCCTAAATCTAAAAACTTAAATTGCCAACCGTTTTACCAGTCCTCTTTGAAATGGAACGAGAGAAGCTGGTTATTTTTTCATGTTCCGAATATTAAACCTAAGGTAGCTAACTGACTGGATGCCCATTAACTTTATAACTTCTGGTGTGTGTGTGTGTGTGTATTTTGCACAGAAAGACAGCCAGGTTCATAATGGATATAAGGAAGTTTTTTCAAAAAAAGGACGGGCATTCAGGTAAAAGCAGAAGATCATGATCTGTCAATCAAGAATAATGTTGGATCAGTGTTTAAATAGTCATATATTTTATTAAATGTACACGTGGTTTGGTTATTTGCCTTTTGATTGAAAGTACACTGAGAGGCAGGGAAAAAGTCTCATTGTGACGAGTAAAGTGTATCTTGCCTTGCTGGGCAGCTCTCTGGGTGCTCAGCACCCCCAAAGCTCTGAACCTAGAATCGCCCCTGGTAAATATATATATATTTATCAACTAAATATACATAATTTAAATAAAAACTAATGAAACCACTCCAAAAACTACAACTACACTAGATTTCAAATGAAAATGAACAATAACATAAAGATCATGGTGTCTGTAGGACCTCCAAGTGAATACGTGCCACATTCCCTATCTCCATCAAGGTGAGGACCTGAGGCTCCTCCCACCTCCTCCCAAGTGTCTGCCTGCAGTACCTCCAACCTCCATCAGGGCGAGTGCCTGCAGCACCTCCAATCTTCAGCCTACCTCCATGAGGATGAGGGCCGATAGCATCGCCCACCTTCATCAAGGTTTATGTCCACAGCACCTCCAACCTCCATTAAGGTTTAGTGGTAAAGCACAAAGGGCCATAGACTTTAGGGCTTACAGTGTACATGCAAGTTCTTAATCACAAACAATCATAACTGTTTTCAGAAAACGCATGTTCCTGCTTGCTCAAAAATACCAACACTGTGCAAAATAATCAACTTTTATTGATATCTGCAATACATTCCATAATAATAAGGCAAATTAAAAGAAAATAAGGCTAGTGGTCATTATATAACATTTTATCTATTATTTCATAAAGCAATAGTGGTCCATCTTTGTTATTTGGAAGCCCAATATTTTATTTGTAGTCATATACATAAAAAGTTATTACATATAATTCATAAATGTAACAATTCACAGCTGTGCAGAGGTGAAAGAAGCAATTTAAATAAAAGCTGATCTATTTACAGCAGTAGCTGCTGTCAGTTCACAATCCGGGGTTCCCAAGGCGGACTTACTGTATGCATGGAATCACAAGAATCATGAAAAGTTATGAAATCTGAGGAAAACAATCCCCTCCATCATAACTGTAAACGAACATATATTTTAATGCTTACACTGTCACTTTTAAGGTAGATAACTGCAAACTTCAGACCATGTACTTTTCAGATCTTTAATGTCCTAAGATGGTTCCCAATCTAATAAATTCTTAGCAGGAGGTTTGGTCATCCAATTTGTCCGGTGCCTTAATAAGCTTGACATGTTAAAAAAATAAATATATCACATTGCACCATTTGGGGGAGCTGGTTGGCACTGATGGGACAAAGAGTACAACACACCTACATGAAAACTGAATTTGCCCTGCAGCAGTGAAACAATGTGAATTACAGGCCTTCACTGGGGAACTCCCAATCATGACTGGATCATCTTGGCCATAGGCCTGGATGCAAAGTCAGTCCTTGCACTGTTGAACCCCTCAACATCCTACTAAAATAAATCCATCCTGTAATTCTATTGTGGGTGCATCACCATACCACTTAATTCATGATGTAAATATGCAATATTACAGCCTCTTGCTATTTTTCATTGAATGATACATGTCATTAATAAGCATCCACCAATCAGCTGCTGGATGTTCTTGGTAAATCCTGGCTTTCGGCAAGGTTGAGCTTTTGACTAGTAATGAATGGGCATTAAGGATCATCCAGAGTAATCACAGGCCAAAAGTGTGCAAAAAGTGTAAATCAATTTAGGTTATTAATAAATTCATATAATCATCATAATCATTTGGTGAGACTCAAAAACATGTTTAAGTCCTCGTTAGAAATGATGTTGTAATGTAATTTTGCAATGGTGAATGTCTAGCCCCATCCAAGCCAAAGTATACTCCAACCTTGCACTATGTCCTGCCTGAGATAGGTCACAGGACCCCTTGTGATTCTGATAAGGTTAGGAGGTTGAATGATGGATGGATGGACGGATGGATATACCCACCTTTTCATAACATAATTCATATATGACCTGTATTTAATTATGGCACATTTGTCAAATCTGTCACTTAAGAAACAAGCAACAATCAACAGGTTGTCAGCCTTGAAATACTTCACCTTAAGAAAAGGATACATGGATGAACTCAACTCCTCCAACTGAAGATGAAAAAAAAAAAGTTTCTTAAAAGCTGAAATCATTTGATCCTCACTGCTTGCCCTCATGTACAGTAAAGAACATTTGTCATTTGCTTGACTCAGGCAATGGTTTTGTTGTGAAAAGCCATATGAAAGATACCGACAACTGTAATTAGTGGCAGGTAATATCGCAGTAATTTATTGTGACTGTTTGTAATGGTATCCACAATAAGCGCTTCAGCGCTACATAACACTACTATTATAATGACAGAACAAACTGCCAAGCTCCTATCACAAAATGCCTGTGCATTTGGATAATGAAACAGTACATTAACAGACCAATGTGAAACAAAGGAATTTCAGCCTGCATAACATATCAACGTGGTGTGTATACCTCACTTTGTTGTCAATTATCTGCCTCAACGGATCGCAACCTATTGACTAAATCTTGAATTAAAAGCGTCATCGATATTTTTCTAAACAGTTAGCTAACTTGGTAAAAAAAAAATAAGATGAGACCGATTGTGACTGGTTGATTCTGAACACAGCAACATCCTTCGTTATTTATGGGTGTGCACGCTAATGCAACCAGGTTTTTGTATGATTTTTTTAAACCTTTTTTCCTTAAACAGTTTGATTTGTTTTCCATGGAAGCCTATGTTCATCATCTGCAATAGGAAAAAAAATCAGGCAGCGTTGCCTTCTCTGCAGGATGCTAGTTAGGAATATCATGTAATCTGCTGGCAAGTAGTTTGGATTTCATGTTAGCTCGCTACCTTTTGAAAGCAGCAAAACAGAGTGGCACTAGTACTGCCTTCATTGCCTTGGTTATTCTTGTGATGCCAGTGTGTGCCTGGGACATCTAGTAGGCTAACAAATGAAAGACGCATTTGATATTTGTTTACCAACTGTAGTTAGGACATCAATTTTCTGTGATGTCACAACTGTTATGGTCTGCTGCAGCCAATAATGTAATAACTACAGTTAATGCAATAGCTGTCTATGTGTTTAACATTATTATGCTATTAACATAATTCCAATTTGGTTTGGTTTGGTTTGTAAATAAACAATGAAATCATGATGTATATCATGGATTGTGATTCCTGCCAAAAATATCACAACGTGACATCTTGGCCATATCGCTGACCACAAACTGTAATGATCCCAGTTTTGAAAAACGTTAATGTGAGAAAACTTACATTTGTTAGAAGTTTATCCATGTTATTATCGCTGGCAAGCTTTTTCTTGTCGTCTGGCATTTCATCCACCTCTCCGTAGAGGTCAAAGTGCAGTCGTGCAAGCTTCTCCTGCATCTCCCGGACATGTTCCATCTGATCAATCAAACATTCATTACCTGCATTAAAACAAAAGATTTAAAGCCTAAAATATGCTGAGGGAGGCTTTAATATACCACTGCTGTCCTTTTATATTCATATCAGTAATGTGAAACCACAAAGATAGAAGATAGAAAAAATGTACGATATTTATTTACTGATCAATCATTAGAATTACCTGTGACTTCTGAGCTGGACCCACTACTACCACAACTCCAAATACAATTTAAAAAGTAATGCGTTGCAGATTCTGCGGGTAAAAATTTCCAAAATCTGAAAGGTGATAGATTCACCCTCTTTCTCAATGACAGCTGTTATTTATGGATCACCGATATTTTAAAAAATCGCACAGGGCGGTTCAAGGAATCTCAGTCTGGCTGTGTCTACTCTCTTACTAACAAAAGTCCTTGAAATAATGGAAAGTTTGTCTGGTGAGAAACCAGTGCAGTATTAACATTATCAATATCCCAGGGAATCAGCAGTTCTCAGTTACACTGTAGCCAATCTCACCAAAAGCCTGTAGTTTGCCTGAGTGGAAGTCATTGAGGAGACTTAGTAGACCCTTCTCCATCTCCTGGACGTCTGAAACATCGGTAAGGAAGGCGTGCTGGACGGGGCCAGTCTGACCCTTCCCTGATGGTCCTTGCTGTTTGGGTTTGGTATTCCTGAGGATAAATGTACACAAGAAACAAAACACACTATAACACAAAACGTGTCTATTATAAAAGCACACCCAAGACACCATGAAATAAAGCAAAATGTATGAAAAACAGTCTAGAAACATCGGCGAATGTATGATAGAGACAACAGATCATATTACTTTGGCTGCTCACAAATAGTCTCAGATAGTGACGAATGGATCAGAACCAAAACCCACTTCCTATACTTCGTCCTCTGCGTGGTCCCCGTGTTACCCACGCTGAGATTGCGACTGGCTGCCGCATTTTTTCGGGTGGTCACAGGATGAGCTGGCTGGGCGCTGGGCGGCCGGGGGCTTTTTCTCTTTAACTTCTTCTCCTCCATTTCATGCTGCTCTAATCGAACCCTGAAGCAAGCACGGGGCAGATGTTTGTACTAGGGGAAATTAATATTTACGGCAAAGTGAAATATTACCATAATATGCTAACTGATATAGCAAACATCACTCAAAAAAAAGTTTACCCAGAAACGGATAGTTGAAGAGTTTCATTAAATGCTGTCCCTTCTTAAAGCAAATGCAGATTAAACAAATGCTTGAACTCGTGCGTTTTCAGGGTTTCCTAAATTACCAGTACACTAGCCGATGCATTTTAATGTTTCAGAGGAATGGAGCCTGAGGACAGCCCTCGTAAACCTTTAACTTGCCTTTGATGTATTAGATACAGTAAGAGACTATGTATAAATTAAGGGAATATGTGCAAATATAAATGACCTACCTAACTAAACACTACGAAGAAATCACAATCGCGCTGGCAGTTTCAGTGACAAGTGATATTTAGCTATTTCATCAAATATTAAGCAGCTGGCTGTATGGTTGGCTGGCCAGCTAACTTTTTTTCTAAAACGTCCTGGTCCAGTTAGCGTCAAATACAACATAGCCCAAGTTGTCATACACATATCTCCATCTTGTATTTTCTAAAATATGAAATGCATGTTTTAATAAACCGTTTGTTTTTCACTCACCTCTCAAGTTTTCATATCTCACTTCCTTCTTCTGGTGCAGCTGAGGCGTTTACGCTGCGGTGGCTTGTGGGAAATGTAGTTTCATAAACAACATTTTGGGCAGCCTGTTGTTCTTCGGTAAGTGACCCCGATGGTCGCTGTTAATATACCTATATTAACAGCTGAGACGTCCTGGCACAGCTTATTGTTACTTAGCTTATTATAATATATATTTATTATTTGTTATAAAACACGGTGTATGGATGCCATCCAGTCCAGGGATAAGTAGTACAATCTTGTGACCTGTGCTGCCTGAGCTAGGCTCCAAGCCATCTCCCAATATGACCAGGATAAGCAGATGCCAAATGAGGGGGGGTGTTGCGCGGAATAAAGATGAAATGGCTTTACCCAAAAATAAATTACAAATATGTTATAAATATATAAATAGTAATAGCATTGTCATGTTTTGAATGATATACAGTATAATGCAAATTAATGTTAAATGGCATAGTAAGTATTGCTTAGGTACGGCTTTTTTGGGTATGAATACCAAAGCAAATGGTCAATCTACCCATCCATATCGGGGAGGGGGGCTGGATCATTCAAAGCAAATATATTAAATAGGATTTTGGCATATACAGTTGTTATATTATTTGAATCCACACGGTGGCACCTCACGTAAGTACTGAAGCGTTTATTTCTCAGGCTCTTGGTATTTCATTTTGGAGTCGGGGAGAAACTTACTATAAATTTTAAATACTTTAGACAAAATTCTGATCAAGAAGAAATAACAGGCAAGAGGAAGAATTAATATTTTTTTGAAACCCACACATTCAACTTCCACGTCTCAAGTGATATCTCAACATGTTATTATTTTCAAAGGTCAGTGATGTTTCACCGAGGTAACGGCGGTTACAATCTAGGCTGTTCACCGTATATTTGTTGCCTTATGAATGAACACATTTTCTTACTGGTGCGATACAACAGAATTTACATGAAAAATCATAAAAACAAAAGCTAAATTATTCTTAACACATTTCCTAGATGTCTCTCTATCCACACATTCCGCTGTTCTGGAAGAAACTCCAGTCCGCATTTTATGCAGACCAGGCATGACTTCTGGCTGAATATCGCAGGTAACTTTTCCTCTCACGTCTTTTGCCCCCCGATTCCTTAGCCAGACTCCAGTTCCAGTTTCCACAGGTGGTTGGCGGCGTCCTCTCCCGGTTTTGTCTGCGCTTTTAGCACGTTTAAGCCAGTGTCCGTGTTTCAAGGAGAAGACAATAACTCAGCATCCTCTGTAATGCGTAATGGGACCGCTGTAGGGCAATCCCCGAATTAAAGCAGCTGAAATTTTGCGGGGATTTTTGACCTTGCATATTGAAAAGTGGCTTTTTGATCTGCCGTCATTTGCATTTATTTGTTTTTTTACTCGAAAGAAGATGCCTTTTTACCAACGGACAGTGGGACCCGCATGCGTGTGCAGGTTGAAGAAAGAGGATGGTAAAGTTGCCATGCTGAGTAACCGTGGCGATACCTTCCTGGGGCTGGAGAACCACAGACGCCCAAATGGAAAGACAACCTTATTTACCTCTCTGGAGGAGGTCTGTAATCACACGCTGACCAACGTCCTCCGTCAACTTTCCGATCTATCGCGACATGCAAGCAGCATGTTTTTGGACATAGAGACAGAAACAAAGTTGCTAATGAGGAGGTCTGAAAAAATGAGAGTTCGCCTGGAGAGCTTGCAGGATACAGTACGCAAACTTGATCACAAGAAGGCACAGTTTTGTAAGTTTGTTTCACTTATCTATAACTAATTGGATTTCACCCGTGACATCGTATGTGATTCCCAGTCAAGTTATATAAATGAATATAGTTCCTAGTAGAATAACAAATTAGTTTTATTTCAGATGTCTCGCTTATTACATACGATTAACCTGAAAGCAGGTTTGGCTAGTAGGTGTTTAACTAACCAATTGCTTAGTTCTAATTTTGAAAACACAGCAAATAGGCTACATTATTTTATTTGTTCCTGCCCCTCCCACTAACTGTTTAATGTCGTGGACCAAAGGAAATGGGCCGTGCTGACGGACTGGGTGTGTGTTTTTGTGCAAGAATCTGATCATTATAACAAACGTTGATATGTAATTTTCTCTCAATTCATTTTTAATACCTAACAAACACATTCGTCTAGTCGTATTGACCCACAACTAGTTAAGCGAGTACGTCACGCGAGGCGAGCGATTGGTCGAGAGGCACATTTGAAAGTTATCCCACAATATATGCGTTTTTCGTTATTTTAAATTGTTTTGATGTAGTACGTGCCAGACTTGTCGCGTCGCTAGCCATCATCCATGCAAACACCGCGCCTGATGTAAAGTCAGTATGAAAGTTTGAAATGGGGGGCTTGTGATTGCCCTGCACCCTTTTTGCAATTTGAGATGATTCAGGGGATTGGGGGGTCAAGGCTCGGTGCCGTAGGTTCCTGCTTTTAAATGACATTATCTGGAGAACATAAGTGTGGCTGATAACCATGGAAAGCTACACATTAAATAAAAAATTGGGCTTAAGTTGCGTTATTTCATTTACATGAGTGCCGATTCGTAGAATAAAGTAAAACAAAAAAAATCAAAGGAAACATACAAAAGGTACAAAAATATAAAAGATACATAATAACAAAACAAGAAAAATAGCATTTTTCTGTACGTTCACTTTCCCTATTCTACTTTGAACATCACTCATCCGCGATTTTAGCGGTAAATGACGCCTTTCTTTACGGGCGGTCGAGATGTTTATGACAAATTGCAAAACACGCAGCTAAGCTTTTAACTTGAACATAACCGTAACACGGGGAATATCCGGATAGGGTGTTACGTTGTGTTGTAGCAAGCTGTTTAACAACTCTGATAAAATAAACAAAAGCCGGCTCTGATTGCTTTAACGAATGATGACTACAAGACCTGCAAACAAACTAAAGTAAGCCTTCTCACTGAAGTATTTATATCTGTACAAAGGGGGTATTCCCAAAACGCTCAGGCTTTTTACTGAAGCACAGCTCATTAAGGAATCTGTTGAAGTTTTGAATATTCACATGAGTAATATGCAAAATAATAAAGCTATTCCATGACCCACTGGTTCACTCGCAGGTTATGAAGGTTGACAGGCAACTGGGTGTATGTCAGTCAGAGTTTTAAATGAATGCGTGCTCAGTACTGCTTGTGTAGAATTAAGGTAGTCAAATGAAGAGCCATGGGTTAGCCTGTAATATGCTGTGGCCGCACAGTAGCTCCAATTCTGACACATCAGTGATGTAAAACATACCTTAGTCAGAAGTGTCTGAATGCAGTTTATCAATGTCCTTCGATAGCTCAGTTGGTAGAGCGGAGGACTGTAGAGGAGAACATTGTCATCCTTAGGTCGCTGGTTCGAATCCGGCTCGAAGGAACGAACTTTTGTGGGCAGTGGTGGCTTAATGGTTAGGGAAGCACATTTGTAATTGAAAGATTGTTGGTTAGAATCACTGACCAGCAAGGCACCACTGAGGTACCTTGAGCAATGTACTGCCCCCAAGCCCTGCTCCCTGGGCACTGAATTAGCAGCCCCCTGCTATGTCACGACATCACATATGGGTTAAAATGCAGTGGACACATTTCGTTGCTGTGTGTTAACAATGACCACTGATCACCAAATTCTAATTCCAATAAGGATACGAATACGTCTGTCTGAATCTCATTGTGTACACTTGGCAGTTGCTCTAAGATCTGGGTCCTGAACTCGCAGCTATTTTTGTTGATTCCACGAGTTCTCCAGCTCCTCTGTCAGTAAAAGACTTTCAGAGAGCATGGCAGGGCTGCCTAAAGGACCTGTGAGAGAAAGGGGAAGGATGTGAGTTCTCAGCAGGGCTGGAAGTGTAACAGACACACAAAAGCACTCTATGTGTGCTAATCCAGCTAACCTAGCAGAAATGGTTGTGTACCACATCTGGTTGTGTTCAATGTATGTTCAGAATCAGCATCTAATTTTTGTGGTGTGCATTGAATTGAGTCTTGGCTAAGATGGATCAATGTGTATTGTGACCTCTGCGAACACCACAGAATGATGCCTGGGCAGATGTGCGCACATGTTTTTTGTTATCCAGAAAATTTTATTCAGCTTGCAAGCTGTGTTTGTTGTATATAATTTGACTGTCTACACATCTGATTTGAATGCTGCATGCAGTGGTTATATCACTGCCATGGCCATGCCAGGTAGCATGGTAAGAGTCCTGGCTTTTCATAGCTACTGCCACCTACAGATGTTAAGTGAGTACTGCATTCATATTGAACTCTAGCAATATATGAGGGGTGGGCAATTTTATCCGCAAAGGGCCACTGTGCATGCAGGTTTTTGCGATAACCTTTATGTCAGCCATTCAAACTGAGGTGTGAGGATTCTTTTACCCAATCAGACCTCTAATTAGTAATCTAATTAGGGAGTTGCATACATAACAGCCCTTTCTGGATAACATTCACCAGCCCTGCAGTGTATGAATGAATGAAAATGAATTTCAATGGAAGAGTTCAAAGTATCAATACATTGTGATTGGTATCAATGTGTGTAGTATCAATACAGCTCATTTACATTATTTCCCAGTTGATTCTTTCCTGAAGAAATTTAAATTGTGATTTTATACAACTGGATTTTTTAGTTTTTATTGGGGAAACTCACAATATGTGTCTGGCTGATGTGTAGCTAAACTGGGCTCCTCCTGGCATTTCACTGGGAACTCTTTAGGGCTGGGCGTCCTTAAGCATTAGGCTACCTGCTGCCAGTGAACCTTCCTTATCCCATGTTGCTGAGTAACCGATGAAAGGAAGGATGTTTGTCAAGGTCAGTAGGAGAGATAGATGTCCTATAGCAAATCATCTTCAGCTGATTAGACTGGACAGAAGCACAAATAGCTAACGGCTGCCGCTTTTTACCCCTTGATTTGTTGAAGACAAGTGCTGTTCAACCAAATGCAGTGACCATGGCTACATTTGTTCTGAGTGATTATTTTATGGGGACAATTTATTTTTAGTAGACTGTATGAATCTGAATACAGACACTCCTCTACTTACGAATGAGATACGTTCCGAACAGCCGTTCGTAACCTGAAATGTTTGTAAGTCATTATTCAACATCATTTAAGGGTATACGCAAGTACAAAGAACTAGGATGCTGGTAGTATGTAAGCTATGCTGCTGTGTGGTGGGAGTAACGGCCAGAAGTTGTACTAGGCGGAATTGGCGCACAGGAAAAAAAAATATTGCGGACAGGAAACGGGAGCCCAATGAACACAATTTGGACTTGCAGTCCTCTCCGTTCATGTGTCTGAAAGTTCGTAAATTGAACGTTCGTAAGTAGAGGAGCATCTGTATTCTGCTATACAGGGAGCCTGTCTTTAAGCAGCATAGGGTACAAAGCAGTTAGATGGGTCAATTGTTGACTTTGTATTCTGTCTGGGATTCTCTGTTTGTCTGAGAAATCAAATCACTCCCAATACACTTTCTTGGTACCCCGTTCCAGTTCGATCCATTCACAATTTATATCTGTTGATTCCGATCTGATCTTTTAATATATATTTAAATGCACATTTGCATAAAGTAGGTGCAATTTCACAGTGCTTTATTATGATGTGTCTGCAAGTGCCTAATTAGATTTCTTGTATTAAAAACACTCTGTTGCTACCTCCTCTCCAAAGGGTGGCATTGCAAATATTGCAGGTAGCTATAGGGCAAAATTTAGTTCCCAATTTAAAGAATTCCCACACGGCTGACATCTCGATTAGTTTGTAGTTTCAAGCCATGTGCCTCAGGCTTTACTGCAGCGTGCGACAGAACCTTACAGCCTGTGCTACTGACGTAAATTAGGCAGATGTGGGAAATGAAATAGATTGGGCTTCAAAAAATAAATAGATTGGGCTTCAGACTGGACTGTGGTAGTCGAATCCAATCAATTAAAAATCCTGGATCGGCCTCAATTCCGATCTGTCATATCGGCACAGGAAATCGCTGCTAACACATTAGGTGAATTGGCATCTTTAAATTGCTCATAGTGTGTACAGTGTTTTCCTGCGTGTCTCCTGCTTTGTGCTGTATTCTTCCTGGGATAGGCTCCAATGTGACGTTAGCCATGAAATCTTCAGAAACCCATAAGACGTGTTCAAAATTCAGGCTCTACGACATGTTTTTGTTCTGTGCAAATACTTAAATATCCTATGTATTAGACATTAACTGTTTGTCCATGGCTTCTGTATATAACAAGGGAAAAATCTCAGTATCAGCCAATACAACGACAACAGCCCAGCAGCGGACGGTTAAAAAGGAGGCGATATTTACTGCCGTTAAAATGGTAACCCATATTGCTTTGCACACCCGTGTCCTACACAGTTAGAAAAATATCTGGTGTATGGAATTATTTCAACATTGGTGAAAATGATGTTAGAAATTAGAGGTCGACCGATATGGGTTTCTCAATAGCCGATGCCGATATTTAGGAGTCAGGGTCAGCTGATGGCCGATATTTTTTGGCTGAAAATTGGACGTTTTCCCCTCTATTTGCATAATAAGATACCACACTAATAATAACAAACGATACATAAAATTTCTCAACTTTGTTGAAGACAAGTGCTGTTCAACCAAATGCAGTGACCATGGCTACATTTGTTCTGAGTGATTATTTTATGGGGACAATTTATTTTTAGTAGACTGTATGAATCTGAATACAGACACTCCTCTACTTACGAATGAGATACGTTCTGAACGGCC